ACGACGGTTTGACATAGAACCCTCACCGACAAACTCATTTAGGTACCCTCTCTGGACCAGAGATTCAACTTGATCGTTGAGGTCACGACAGTCGGCGGTATCGTGTTCATGGTCCTTGTGGAACTTACAGTATTTGCTCTTGTCCCTCTTGGAAGAGTCGCCCTAGGTTCATTCTGGCCACTGAAGCAAGCTGTCGATGGGTGTTTCGTCAATCTGCACTAATATTTGATGCAGGTAATGCGAGTTAGAGGTATACTTCTCGTACCTAAACGGCCAGTCTACTTTAAATTCAAGGCGGGACGGATCAGGTTCCTTCCTGGTGAATGCGGACCGGTCAAACGACTTGCCTTTGTCTTTTTGGGATGACTCTGTGCACTTCTTGTTCAAGGACTTGGTCTCGGGCAACTCCTCCCTAACTATGCGTCGTTGGATCTAGGCCATGAGGTCGACCATGGACTAGACTGGGAATTCTCTCAAATAACGGACAAGTCTCCTATCTTTGATTCCATTAGGGAGTGCCCAAAGGACCATGTTTTCTTAGTAATTAGGCACACGCAGTCATTCAATGGTAAAACAAGCCACGTATGCCTTATGATCTTCATCGGGCTTCTGTTTGACAAACATGAGGTGGGTCTCCATCCGTCGATTGACGTAGGAGTAATGGAACTAGTCGACGAACTTACAGGCCAAGTCTTGATAACTCACGATTTAGTACTGGGGGAGATTCTGGAACCAGTGCCGGGCAGGGCCTACGAGGGTTCCTAAGAAGCCCTGGCACTACTCAGTGTCACTATATCCAGCCTGCCATGTGGCATCGTAGTAAGAGGTGGCGTGATCTACAGAATCCGCGGATCCATCATATTTGTCGATCTATATGCCCTTGAACCCTTTTGGGAGCTCTACGGCTAGGATTCCAAGAGCGAACGCCTCGATCTTTGAGGGTTTGTAGTGAATGGTGGGTCCTCGAATGCTGTACCGAGCTCGATCTTTACTCGGTTAAAAATTTCTTCCTTTACTCGGTCCAGCTTGATTACGCTTGTTTACATGCGTAAAAAGAAGGTTTTAGATGCTGTTTTTACAATGTTTCAGCTTTGTTTCGGATTTTTCTCGATCGTTTGAGTTCCAATTCATGCAAAATTCATATATTATGGTTTGTGTTGGCTTATATTGTATTTATGACATTTTAGGACCATTTGGGAGTGCAAATTAATCAAAAGAAGCAAAAAGACGAAAAAAGCTTCATGGGAGGCGCCAGGCGCCTGCGTGCATGCAGAAAAACAGTTTTTCTTCCAACTTTGCCCTTAATGAAACGCGTCTTCCAATGCGTTTTGGTGGTTCCAACCGATGCATACGTGTAGAAGAAGTGTTCCACTATCAGTTTGAGCACGATTTGGTCAATCAAAAGAGTTGGAAATGGGTGATTCACCATCGTTTTAGGACCTACCTAACCAATTCTGCACAGCTATAAATTCCAGCAACTTCTCCACCAAAATCATCAAGCCTTGCTTCCTTCTCTTGATCATTTTTAGTGCTTCTTTGTTGCTTTCTAAGTACTTTTGAGTTGCTTTCATTAGTTGCTTTTCGTTTTTAAATCCCGAGCACTTTACATTCTTTTATTGAGCTTTGTTTTGTTTCCATTTGTACTTAGTTATTTTCTACTTATTCAAATCTATAAAAATCTAGCACTTTGCTTATYYTCYCTTTGCCTTTACTTTATTTTTAGTTAAGAGAGTTGTGTTTTTGGAGGAAAGAGCACGTGACACTCTCCCTTGCTTGAAAGAGAAGGGCGAAGCTCTCAATCCCGATAAAAACTCTCTGTTAGTTAACTTTTGTTTTTCACCCATGCATTCCACATTCAATCGTTTTACTTGCTGTATTTTCTTCAATATGTCTTTCTAAATTCCC